GTGTAGAAGTGAATCATTTATTGCTTGCAAACCAATGATGGTAAGATGATGTCATGGGGTAGGACTGGATAAGTCTGACTTCTTCCTACTCCATTCAAGCATGTACTATTGTGTGTAAAAATGTGTGTTGTTATATCAACTGTTTTATATGCTTGAAAGAATAAATCAAATCAAACATCGAACAAATAATAACTGCATCTCTGTGCAACTTTTACCACTTTTTACTTTTTGTAATAATTAGACAACAGGCTATTAACTTTTCACTGTAGCCTTTATAGAAGCTTTGTATATTTCCACAACACATATTGTTCATATTTGATTAATCTGGACTGTTAAACGGGTCAGTGGAATTAATGTTGTACATTTTCAGATCTTTAAACTTTTCTCTTTGTGTAAGAATTATCCATAAAGGCCAATTTTTATGTAAATATCTGGAAAATTGTGAATAAAATGCAATAACATTTGTATGCCTTGTGCCAATTATCACTGTGAGTTTCTTCTTTTCACAGGAAAATGTGTGTACATAGTACTTTAGCTGGACAAAAATGCAGTTGTGAAATTTAAGAAGCGCCTTTACCATTGCAAACTATGCTATGATTAATAAAGTACACTTTGAAAAGGGGTTAGTGAGTCAGAACTGATTATTATATTAATGGTTTCTAAACTGTTTTCTAATGGTGTGTACTATAGCTCAGTTATGTGCCCTTATATTTCAGGTTGCTATATTGTGAAAATCTCTCTTCTTCTTCATCTTCCTCTAGCAGGACCCCTCAGCTCTTTAGTTCATGAATCTGTCCCAAATGACTCTTTGACCTTTTGGAAAACATTTGATATAGACCAAGATTCATTTATTAACAACAGCAATTAACATTTGCAACATATCTGTACAGTAGCAAACCCTTACTATTTAGTTATTACGGGCTTATAACTAATCTATAAATCATCATTTGTTTTATTAATAAAGCGACTGATGTCAACTTACAAACCTTTATAAAGAAATGTTGCCTACATTTAGGTAAAAAAAATAAAACAAAAAGAAAAATACACATAGACCTCCAACAGGTCTCTGATACCACTATATGTGTGTTCTTATGGAGCTTCACAGAACTATCAAGAGGGTGTAAAAGTATAACAATGGTCAAAAATATTATATCAATAAATATAACAATCGGTAGGCTAAATAATTAAAATGAAGTAAGAGATAATATAAAGCTTTACATTATGTGTGTTTGTACTGTGTACAGTGTGCAGATTGTTGACAGGAAAAGAGGCGAGTCTGTATCCCTCTGCTTTTATTGGAAGAAAGTGCAGTCACGTGATCATAAACGTCACCAACGACATGGCAGCCTACTATGTTATAAATTAACACAAGGTTCAAGCTGCTAAAGGATCCCGTTTTTGTAACTGGAGGTTTATATCTCCAAGGCGAAACCATCGGGTGTGTATTCAGCACTTCTCTAGCTGCATGTGGGGGAACTTTATCTTTAGCTAGCGGCGGTTAGTGGGGCTAACGTCCTGTCTCCTGGTAGCAGCCAGCGAGCATTGAGGGATGTTGACTGTCTTCGACTGAGGGGAAGCGTTTGGTCGTCCACGCCTGTGCAGCTTGTTGTCCGTTATCAAAACTGATTGAAAAGTATTTAGTTAGAGTTGTAAAACTGTGAAAATTAGCTAACAACTTTACATATCCTACCGGCATGCTACCACACCCACCACCAAAATCAACGCGACACTCTGAATGAAATTAACTAGTGTGACATGGCTGGCCTGTTGATAACAGTAATGTTTGCTTTAAACAGCGCCCGTACACTTAAACCATTTGGCTTTGTAGTTTATTTTGTGAATATCAGAAAGATTTCTTTAATATTACAGTAGCAACTTAGCTAGCTACTAGGGTGGATATTAAACGCAACTGATTCATAAAGTCAACTTGTAAACAGCAATCGCATGCGGACCGGTTAGCCAATAGGAGAGCTCATCAGTGAAGTATACTGCAACGTGATTGGTCAGTTAGAGAAGACTTTATAAACTGAATTATAAGGCCATACTGTGTCTGGTTGGTGATAGTTCACCGTTGCACAGTGTCCTGTCAGCTTTGTGTAACGAAGTTATTTTTGTAGAAATGGATGACCTGCCCACCTACCTGCCAACACTAATAAGGACTATTGCTATTCCTTTAATATTTAACCCTGGCTTCTTGACAACTGCTTAATCAGCGTGTAACAGCAAGATACAGAGCCAGGTGTGGATTGACACTTTGAGCTCCACTGTAATAACCAGTCAGTCACTGTCTTGTTCCAGTCACCTGAAGTCAACATGTCTTCCCAAAAGTCAGGTAATCTGTAGCTAATTACTGTAGGTTTTAATGGCTGAGGGAACGTCTCGTGCTTATTGATTAAATGGTTGTCTGCACTAGTCATATCACACCACATTTAGTTTAGTTTTTGATCAATTTACTGCATATTCAGGGCACTGCACCTCTGTTTTAAAAAGCCATGATATCAAGTAATATAATGTGTGTTTGAAATGTATCATCTTTTTTAAATATGTCATTGTATTTCCATTCAGGTGCAGCCATGTCTCCAAAGATCACTGGAGAGATTCTCAGGCACCTTCGGCAGGCAATGAGGAGCTGTAAGTACTTTTCTGAGCCTATACAAGCCTACATCATCCCATCCGGAGATGCTCACCAGGTAAGTGAGACCACACACGCAGCATACATTTACTCATTTACTACTATTTATATATGTTTTCATGAATAAAGTAACTTAAATTCAAAGACTTTCATGCACAAGTGCACAGTCATATCAAATGTACTGTTCCTATTTATCTTTCTTCATGTGTGTCATCAATCCCTTCTGATCATCTCGTCTGACCTTTGCACATTAATTGTAGCCCTTCCCAACTGTTCCTTCATTCTCTCTCTCCCTGCACAAGACAAGATGTGAGAAGAGCAGCAAAGGTGGCATTTAAAATGTCCGACTGGTTGATGGCCACTTCACACTGATTGCGCTCCCTTTCTCTCCCGTTCTCTCTCCGTCTCTCTGTCTGTCCCTGTGTCTCAGAGTGAATACATTGCACCATGTGACTGCAGACGTGAATTCATCTGTGGATTTAACGGCTCTGCAGGTATGTTTTGCTTGTGTGTAAGTGGCAGTGTGTATGCAGGTGTATTTTTAAGAATAAAACATCTCCCAGAGTTCAAACCTTAGTTGTGCAGACTAGGAGCCAAGTTTTAATTACCACTGTGGGAAAACCCAAGACAGTGTGATAAGCAAACCTGCCGGCATGTCCAACCTTTATTTAGTTGGTGTACTTACAAGCAAGGTGGCCTGTTTTTGTAATAAAACACTGTGAGAAACCCTGCGTTTCATCCTGACATCAGCAGAATTTGAAAGAGAAAAGGCGAACCTGCACACTCTCAGAGTGTTGGTTCACTGCTGTCATTGCACAGGGTATATAATCTAATTATGCCATCGGATTCTTGGAGTTTTGGTTCAGTTGTTTCTTAGAACTGATCAGACAACCTTTGAGCCACCCTCTACAAACACAAATGGCACAAACAGTACATAGACAGTAATAGTGTAAACTTTTTAAATACTTTCTCATACTTCCTTGTCAAATGTGCCTTGTGTGTTGTGATTCGTAGGAACAGCCATCGTCACAGAGCAGCATGCTGCAATGTGGACTGACGGGCGATATTTCCTCCAGGCCAGCCAGCAGATGGACAACAACTGGACCCTTATGAAGATGGGTAATGTCCTACTTGGTATTTCTGTTGGACATGATGAAATAAATAACTGCCTCTTGGCAATTGTGCGTAAGTTATAAGTAAAAGCACTGATTGTTAAACTTCACATTTTCTCATTGTTAAAGTTGTGGTTCTTTTTGAGTACTCAAAAACATTTTAAAACATTTGCACTACAGATTTCGTATTAAAACAAGTCTTTAAACACAACACAAATAATAATTGCACGTAGCCATAGATATACATGTATATACATGATGCTGCGTCATGGCATCTGAGGTGCATATCACCTGCCTTCCATATGGCACTGGGAGGTCTGGCCTGTTGTGGTCAGTTCAAATAGTAGAAAATTCCAGGATTTTGTGGAGCTCTTGGATGTTCTTATAAAAGAAATGTAGCATCTACATGTATACATCTATAACTTTTGGCCTAACTGTCATCAAGGCACGAGTGATAAGGAATGAATGACACTTAGACTGTTAATTAATATGTTTTGACCTAATTGGAGAGAGAAAAACAAATGTTTCAAATTTTCCTGTTTTGTAAAATTGTCCAGTCATGTCTGTGCTGGGTGTAAATAAAAGTTGATACAGTATTATACTGTATGTTCCACAGTGGTATGAGTCAAGTTTACAGCACATCTCTTTGTGTTCAGTGTGTGATTAGACATGTTTTTTTTATAACCATGTCTAGGGCTAAAGGAAACACCATCTCAGGAGGACTGGCTGGTCAGTGTCCTGCCAGAGAACTCTAAAGTGGGGGTCGATCCTTGGATCTTTGCTGCTGGTAGGTTGTGGTACCATTTTCCTCTCCGGCAGTACTAGGAGAGCAGTATTGGTTCTCTAGATGTTAATACACTTTTAGGTTTTTAACCAGTGTTTGTGCGTCTTAACAGTCTTGTGATGCTATGATTCAGATCAGTGGAAGAACATGTCCAAGGCGCTGAGCAGTGCAGGCCACTCTCTGGTGGCGGTGCAGGAGAACCTGATCGATGTGGTGTGGACCGACCGCCCAGAAAGACCCAGCACACCGCTCCGAGCTTTGGGAGTAGAATACACTGGTCAGTGCCCCACTGCCTTGACACCGGTACCACATACACATTTTTGGTGGCTAATTAGGGTTGTTTGAGAGTTGCAGAAATATTTATTAAATATTTTTAAAGAACACCAACAACATTATTTTATGCACATAGATTTAGTGATTATCTTAGTGTGAGCAGATGTACTGCACTAAATTGAGATTCTGTGTAATCGCCTTGTTTTGACCTTATCTTTTGTGTCCAAGCTAGAAAAGAAAACAAAGTTCCAGTGAACAGTAACTAGACATACAGGTTCTCGAAGAAGATTAATTGAATGTCCTGTTGATTCTGTCTACACGTAGGCATGACCTGGCAAGACAAGATCACCGCACTGCGAGCTAAGATGACGGAGAGGAAAATCAGCTGGTTTGTTGCCACGGCACTGGACGAGATTGCATGTACAACTCATTTTTCAGAAATACTTATCAGTTTAATTACTTCTGATGATGTAATTAATTAAAATGAAGATAGTAATGAGGTGTTATTTAACCTAACAATGTGCTGTATAAAACAAGCAGCCATAGCCAGCATCACTCCTGTTACTTAAGTCTGTTTTGATAAATATGTGATCACGACCCAAGGACCCAGACGGGCACGGGCATCCCTGTAGATGCCTTTTTGAGCACCTTGTTCACTGTGCCTAATGAGCTCTTGTTTCTGATTGTTTGGTCTGAGAGCTTGTGTTAATTGGAGTAATGCTGATTTTAACTGTTTTTGGGTAGCATTTAGACCAGAGGGCGTAAAACTGAAGAGGGTTCTCAACAGACGATGAGTGACAGTCTAATAATAGCACTGCTATTTAGCACCAAATAATGTATATGGAGGTTTCAGATGAGATAAACAATATTTAAAATAATAGAATCAATAAACACAGTACGTGATGTTAGTCATCCCTTGTGCCAAAAATGGAGAACGTCCAATGGAAGTTTAGGTGTTTCTCTGGAACAGGTAAGACACATCATCAGTAGTTTCACTCTGACTCATAAGGTGTTTCTACAAGGTAACTATACAGTTTCAGTGGCAGCACATTTGGCCCTAAATAGAAACAATGGTTAAGCAGCTCCTGACATTACCACTGTCGTTATGGGATGACACAATTATTAAAATGCAATCTTCTGGTATTTTCTTTTCTCAGGGCTTTTTAACCTTCGAGGTGCTGACATCGAATACAATCCAGTTTTCTTTGCCTATACCATTGTGGGGATGAACACAATAAGGTACAGGAGTGTAACATAATGCAGCAACATGTTGGTTTGATTTGAATTGTCTCAGTTGCACTGACTGATGTGAGGGATTTGGGGCATAAATGGTGATTCGGACTCCTAAAATGCTGTATTGCAAACAATATGACAGTGTAAAAATATTAATAAAATACAAGTACCTGTGATAGACTGGTGATCTGTCCAGGGTGTACCCCACCTCCTGGCCAGTGTCTGCTGGGATTGGCTCCAGTGCTCCCGTGACCCTATTCAGGAATAAGCAGTATAGATGATGAATGGATAGATGGACATACAAGTACAAAACATCACTCCAGAAATCACAATTATACTAAAGCTGTGCTGCTTTTTGGCCAAAGGTAGTATTTTTATTACTCTAAAATTGCAATATATTCATTATTCCTTTTTTCTATTTATGTTTCTCCTTGCCGACCTTGTCAATAGCAGACAGCAGTCGTTAATGCACAAATGTTTAACAAATACAGAAGACAAAAGTAGAATTGAACACTACACGGTGCTCCACATTAACTTTGCTTTATAATTGCATTTGCCTGTGAAATTTTAACTTTGCTAAGGTCTCTGTGTACATGCTAATTTACATGCAGCCAACAAACTGTACATTTGCAGTCATGTGTCAAGTAGAACTGCTTAGAAAACCCAGCACTATTGCATTAACCTCTAAAGCTACATATAATCCTAATAATAAAATAAAACTAGAAATTAGATGTACGTGGTTTTTATTCTTTGTTGGATTTGCTTCCTCACTGAAATACCCTTTCCTCTCTGCAGGTTTTTTGTGGACCTAAGGCGTCTTTCTGATCCCATTTTGAGAGACCACCTGCAGCTGGACTCCCCCAGCAAGCCTGAGCTGAGCATTGAGACGTTCCCCTACGAGTCAGTCTACACTGAGCTCCAGGCCACCTGTGCTGCACTCGGCCCCAAGGACAAAGTGTGGATCTGTGACAAGGCCAGTTGTGCGCTCACACAGGTCATCCCCAAGGTGAGAGACCATAGTAATACTTTGAAGATGTTTAATTTGTCTCATAAAGAGCTCAGTTGTGTCTCCATTGTGTATCCTTGGTCCAGAAATGTGCTCTAGAAGTTTGAAAAACTACTGCTTATTAGATCTAATCATTTTTATTTTTAAGTGGCATATTTTGATGTTGCTTACTATAAATGGTTCAGATTATTTAAGTCTCGCAACAACCTGTATTACAGGTTTGCTTGTGGGAGGGCAGAGACAGAAATTCTCAGACGTCTCAGTGTTAAACTGACATTATTTGGTTAAACTGCGTTAATGCAATTGTTCTCACTTGCAGAGACTAGTAAAATTGCAAAAGTATACAGTTTTTATAACAAAACCTTTCCAATCATGCATCATTATACCAGGCATTTTGTTATTCAGTTAACCCTTTTCTTTCCACTGACACTTCTTTTACTGAACATGGGTCAAGCCAGCCAGGCATTTTGCTGATCAGTGTTTATTACCTTCGACAGTTGCCAAAGTGCATTGCTTAAAATATCTCTAATACATAAATGTCAATATATTTTACTGTTATGTTTTTATTGAAGTGTCTACTATTATACATTTATTAAAGTCTGAGTAGCTTTTTTAAACTGTAAACGATTCCTCATATAATATATAGTGCATATCTTCACCCTACGGCATTGTCCCATTCACCTTCTGCCCATTTACCAACAGATCAAGGATGCAGTTGCCCTCTGTGAGCTCTTTGCTTGGTTGGAAAAGGAGGTATTTTCATTGTTTTTCTGAGGGCATACATTTATAAAGAAAATAAAGAAAAAAAAAAGAGGGACTAAGTGGTATAGAAAATGAGAGAGAGAGAGAATAATAAAAGAAAAGAACCTTTAGTTTGTGGTCACATGGTTTTAGAGGGCTTAAATGGACACTTAAAGAATTCTCTAAAGGTTTTTTTAAAATGAATGGCTAGGTTAAAGATTGTCTGGGCGTCTCTATCTTATCTTGTATATGCTGCTCTGAGGAAACCCCTGCTATTTGTATTGTTTCCACATTAATGGCTAATTAATTATAATGTCGATTTCCAAAACTGCAATATTTATTTTGACCAATCCTTCAGCATCTACCAGTTTTTATATTCTTATATTCCTGGAAATAAATCTTGAAGTCCCTGAAAACGGCCCTAATTTTTGTGTCAGTATCAGTATGGGAACCCTCACATTGATACTCAGGTGGTTGTGTAATTTGCCTTGCACTTAAACTGCCACTGTTTATTCTCTTTGCATAACAGAGAGCTGTGGTTATTGTTTTATAGATTCCAAAAGGCACCGTGACAGAGATCTCTGCTGCCGATAAGGCTGAAGAACTACGCAGGTGAGATTTTTTTTTTTTTTTTAATATCCAAAAGTGTTTAACACATTCATTTTCCTCATATGGTTCAGCTAGGTGGGAGTGTCAGCTCATGACGTTCCCTTTGCTTTTCTTTCATTTGGCCAGAGCTCCCACTTCCCTGATTTTTGGAATTCATTTTATTGTTCAATGTTATTCTTTTGCACCAGTTACCAACCCTCCATTGTGTTATGCATTCCTTTGAATAAAAGATTTGCTCAGACTCTAACAATGTTTAAACACCCGGATTATCTTTAGATAAACTTTAGGGCTTGCGTAACATCATGCTTGAAATTCTGTATTTGAATGTTGCTGTTTGAACTGTGTTGTGATGGTGAGCATTCTGGAGTTACATCCCCCTCTACTGGACATGGTAATGACACAAAATGTCTACTGAGAGCCTTAAATTGTTCAATTTCAAAATGTTTTATTCTCTCAGTGTGCAAGAGTAATGTTTTCTCAAGCTATAAGTGTAATCTTTTATTATTCTTTTACTTTTGTCTCACATTTGCTGACATCCTATGTGTTGTTCCTTTTCATTTTGTGTGTTGTGAACATTGTGCCTTTTTCAGTCAGCAGAAAGATTTTGTTGGTCTCAGTTTCCCCACAATTTCCAGTGTTGGTCCAAATGGAGCAATCATACATTACAGGTCAGTTGGAGGGTAAAACAAATTTGTGTAATTGTATTTTTTTCCCCTCTATAAACTGTATTTGACTAAAGCTGTATCCATTACTTGTTCCTTTTTCCTTCAGACCACTGCCTGAAACCAACAGAACCCTCACCACAAATGAAGTTTACCTGATCGACTCTGGCGCTCAATACATGTACACAAGATTGTTATTATATACAATAAATGTATTTAGACTAACTAGTTATGTTTAGTATCGCTATGACTTGCATGTCTTCATTCAGACAGTTGTCACCTCCCTGTCTGTTCATACCAAGAACACAGACAACATAGGGGTAGTGTTACTCTGCACACATCTGCATTCATATTCTGTTTTTGGCAGTGATGGAACCACAGATGTCACACGCACCATGCACTTCGGGACACCATCTGCCTTTGAGAAGGTACGTTTGTACATTTTCACTGTCAAAAATACACCTAAACTCATGTTATTATTTTTATTTTCAACATGTAAAATCTAAACTGAGAATTTGCTGTGTGTTGACCCTGACTGTGTGCTCTGTCTTTTTCTCTAGGAATGCTTTACCTATGTACTGAAGGGACACATCGCTGTCAGTGCAGCGGTTTTCCCCAATGGAACAAAAGGTGACGCTGCCCTCTGTTTTGATACGAATGTTACTTTATATTGTATATAGTATTGCAGTATTAAATATTACACATTTCCATCAAATCATGTGTAGAACTGACAAATAATTAGGCTCAAATGATTCATTCTGTTACTGTATATAGGGCTTTTATTCTTCATTTCACACAAACATCACAAGCCAACAGTGAGCATATTGTTACTCAAGAATGTAGCTGATCTTCTTTAGTCCTGAAATCTGTGTTGTGAAGGTCGAGCAAGAACACGGTGCAGAGAAGCGAGACACAATGAGCTGATGTTTAACTTGTAGACAAGGAAATCACACTACTGAGAACCTAACCTTTAGTTATAGCAGACCAGTCAGTTTTAGACTCTGGAAACAAAAGATCAAGATACAGCATGTCATAAGGTTTCAGTAAACTCTGATAGAGAACAAAGATTAGAGCCTGCACACTGGTTCACTGCTCTACAAAATTATTTTTATTCAGGCAAAACCACCACACCAACGACAGTGTGGCAGTTGTTCCGAGTGTTTAGGTGTGTGCTTGTGGTTTTGTAGTTCTTGTGAGTTAAAATGTTGTGTGAGAAAATTTGGGTCATGTTGTTTTGGCCTGGGTGTGGTGACGTTAACATGAAGGAATCGATTCAGGTCAGAGTGAAAGTACCTGATGAAGACTTAATGTCAAAGCTTCACTGGTGTGATGTTTGGGCTGAATAAAAATAATTCTGTGGAGCATTGAATCAATGTGTGGGCTCTAATCTTTTTCCCTACTGGTATTACTCCTCAGCCTACCCACCTAATGCAAAGAAGTTTGTTTTGGGGAGGTGCACGCACTTTTCTTCATGTATTTATTCAAATCTGAGGATGATAAATCTGGTAAAGGCAAACTGGGAAAATCATAGCTTTTCCAATTCATCTAATGGAGAAGAGAAGACTAGCATGCACTGGAGAGAGTGCAGGGTAACAAATACAGTAGAAATTACTTTTCAGATTCCTTTGTTCCACCAGAGTTGATGACTTTGCATGTTATTAGAGTGTAATGTGTATTTCTAAACCTGCATAAACCTCCATGCGTTCCCTAGGCCATTTGTTGGACTCATTTGCCCGTGCAGCCCTATGGGAGTCGGGGCTGGACTACCTTCATGGTACGGGCCATGGCGTGGGCTGCTTCCTCAACGTCCACGAGGGGCCCTGTGGCATCAGCTACAAGACATTTGCAGATGAACCTTTGGAGGCTGGCATGATCGTCAGTGATGGTATGGCAAAGTTTTGATTACACAAGTGAATCTTGTTGGTAGAGGGACTCAGTGATGTCTTTTAATTAATACTCCACCTTCTATCTGACTGTAGTTTGTCACTAATCACACAACGTTTTACTCTTTACAGTTTTTCTCAGTCACTTTGGTACATTTCTCAAATTATTGACTTTTACAAAACATTAAGAGTATTTCTCAAAACAGTTCATAAAAACAGCACCACATAGTGGTTTACCATCCATTATCTGATAATATAGAAAACAGCAGACAGTTGTACATAATCATTTGCATGAATGTGCCAAAAAATTTGCAGTTTGTTAAAAACAATGAGAAATTGCTTATATGATGTGCACAAGTGAGTGGATGATGTGGAGGCTGGACAAGTAGAATTTTATTTCTGATCTGAGAAATGTATTAAAGTGACTGAGACAAACTCTAATGTGTGTACCAGGAGTACTAACTGGCATAAAGCAGACAAAATGACGTGTCTGGACTTCAGTGGTTCATGATTGCTAGTATCTGGTCAGTTCTGCGACTGAACAGAAGTCAGCAAGGCTGGACAATAACATAAACGGCCCTTCTGTATAATGCAGAGAGGTAGCCTACATATCAGCTCTTCACAGAATCTCATTAGTTCAGTACCTACAGCAGCTTCCTCTCCTCATCCATCCTGTGTTCCTCTCCCAAACCCGCTGAGAGCCCACCACTACATCTCCAAGGAGAAAGGAGCAGCGGGATGGTTAATAACAATGCATCTCGTGGCAACAGTAAAATCCTCTTCTATGTCTCTCGTTCTGTCACTCACAAATATTTTATATTTAGTGTAAACATTTCATTAGTATAAAATTACAGTTAATGTTGCTCTTCCTCCTTTTCACCTGCGTATTTGTTTATCTGTTGTATTTCAACAAGACTACGACACAGCCATAGTAAGAGATTTGTGAGTCTGTAAAGGTTGGCGCAATGGTTCTTAGAGGTACAGTAAATCCTATAGCACGCTAACATGCTGATGTGTAAGTACTGTACAGCTGAAGCTGATGGGAATGTCATTAAAGTACTGGACACATTACTCTAGTTGAAAAGTCAGTTGATTACTAAAGTTTTTAGAATTCATCTAATGGAACAAATTTCATGGCAGTCCATTCAGTGGTTGTTGAGACTTTTCACCAAATTAGCAGTGTTTTAATTCAGAAAATCATGATTTTTGAGTTTTGTCATCTGTGTGTGTGTGTAGTACAACTACAGAAACAGAGGGAGTCTGACATTTGAGCCTCTCACTCTGGTTCCTATTCAAGTGAAGATGATGAACACAGAGCTGCTCACCCAGAAGGAGGTAACACTGATGCAATTATGTTCAAAATATTGAATAATCAAAGACAAACTGACCCTTGTGAGATTTATTTATTGGTAATATGACAAATGCTTCATTACAAAACATTAAATATAATCAACCTTTCACTGTGTAGGAACAATGGCAACAGTTAAAATGACCTATAGTAAAACTGTGAACTATGCATTTGAACGTTTTGATAGTATCCCTTAGCTATTCCTATTACATTATGCACAACTTAGATACGGTCGTCTTTGTGGTTTGACCCTTGCCTTTCTGCCCTGCAGCGGGACTGGGTGAACGAGTATCACAGGAAGTGTCGGGAGGTGGTGGGAGCGGAGCTGGAGAGGCAGGGCAGGAAGGAGGCACTGGAGTGGCTGATCAGGGAGACCCAGCCAGTCATCTGAGGACTGACCTTTTAGCAATCTAAACCCATTGCCCAGGAGTACTGAATGATTGATTGCTCTGCAGTGATAATCATTTGTATCTTTCTTGTCTTTCTCTGTCTCACACTCGGCTTTTTTTTGTAAAGCACATGGCAGCATCAGCATCAGCAGTTTTATTAAAGATCACTGAATTATCAACGAATGAGATTTTATACTACTTTGGGTTTTCAAAATAATAGTAACCTCAGTATGGTGGTCTCAGAGCAGGCTTGGTGATCCTGATTTTTGGTTATCCAGTGGGTGACACTTTCTTAAAATGAACAGCATTAATTCCGTATATAATTTTAGCACCTATCAAATTTAAGGTACCCTGTTGAGTGTTGCTTAGAGTCTGGTGTTTCTCACCAGATTACGCTGTGTGTATCCTTAAGGCCTAACAAACCAGTTTATTTAAATGCCTTTTCTTCTTTCTTAAATGTTTACAGAGTGTAAGCAGCATTTGAATATTGTAGCTGGTTGAGGTGAAGCTAGTTTTATAGTTGTTAGAGTGACAACAACCAAGATAGTGATAGTGCTCAAAAGGCTCTCTAAGAGGAGAGACGTTTCCAAACAGAATAAATTCACCTTTCTGACAAATTTCAAACCAGGAATTTCAGAAGGATTAGATTTCAGTGACAATGAATTTAAAAAATACTGCAAGTTACTCAATTTAAATACAGTAAATGCTCAAAAGTTTTTCAGTGAAAATTATTGAGCAATTTCTGCAATGTACCTTACCCTAGTATAAAACTGTACTGTCCAAATCACTAAATGATATTTCTGATTTCTGAGCAAAATCATAAGTAATAATACATTTTTTACTGTATGCACAAGACGTTCCAACTTTTCAACAGGAATGAATAGTTTCATAGCAATTGGGAAAACAGAAAGGCTACTGATCCTAACAAAACATCAGAACTCATAGTCAACAATAAATCCTCACTCTACTCTTTGTGTTGATCAGTTATTTCTTAGTCTTATTTAAATTGCCAAGTGCCAGGACCTCGAAGCTGCTCTGCGCAGCCTGTCAGCACGCCAGCAAAGCCACTGCTCTGAGCAGCCTTTCTTTGATGTCGAGTGAGAGCGTAAGCTCTGTGCTTTGGTAGCAGACTGTGAGGAGGGCGAGGGCTCCAGTGGCTTCCTCACCCCAAATTACAGCCTGGCATCCAGCCCTGCAGCATCAACGGGCACCAACTACTCCAACGGCAGCTCACGACACTCCTGTGGCTCCTCAGGAGGATCCAGGTCTGACCTGCCCGACTGCCTGCAGATTGTCAAACCTCTGGAAGGTAAAAACTTTCAGCAGTGTGTGTTGTTTCTTGGAACTTGTTCAAGTTCCTTAAGAATCGTGAAGCATAAGAATGTGTTATTAAAAATCCAAGAAAGATGAGCAAAGACATCCGATCACTGTTGATACTGATTAGTGCCACAGGTGCAAAGCTGCCCTGCTCTTAGAAGTAGAAACCTTTCCTTAAAATGGATGAATTAAAAATTCACAAAGGGAAACGAGGTGAAAGACAGAAGTAAAACAAGCAGATAACATGCTGCCACATTTAACAGTAGCAGCCAATGATACATTTATAAATAAAATTTACTATGACACACACTAACAGTCGGAATTTTTAGAACTCACCCATTATCCTGTAGCAGGATAATGACCCCAAAAAACACCCCCAGCTGTGCAGAGGACAGGAACAAAACGGTCGGCTTCAAATGAAGCAGTGGCAGCACATGCCTACTAAAGTAACTACTGCTCTGGTTTGTCACAACCTTCTTGACACCTGAGGGATGACTAGACAGTTGGGATCATCTGGAATTATGTTTTATTTTTATTTCATTGTGATTCAAATTCTTTTTGTGCCTTCCATATAACTATTGAAGCAGATAATTGCTGGTGCCTCCATCTTGTTCATTCACCTCTGTCCAGTGACTTTACTTGAGTTTTCTTTACTTTGTATATAATTGAACCTTCCGAGCCAGAACCACTGAGAACATACTCTGCTTTTGTAAGGGAGACTTTGCCAAGAGGCTGAGATGCTGCTAAACACAGTGTTTACTCTAACACCACTCAAATGACAAATATTGACGACACTATGAAATAAAATGTGAAATCATAGTTAAAGCCTAGTGAAATGCATAAAACTGCACAGAGCACTCAGAAAGAAGTAATCATTATTTCTAATGTAACTGCATTCTTCAACTACAGTTCCCTCCTGACTCTCTCATCAGGCTCAGTGACTCTGCACCAGTGGCAGCAGCTGGCCAGGCCAAACCTGGGAGGCATCCTGCAACCACGTCCGGGTGTCTTGACTAAAGACTTCATGGAGCTCGAGGTGGACATACAGCAGGTCTACAGCCTCAATGACCTGGAGGAGGATGAGCCTGACCTGTCGCAGCTCTCTGGAGCACACGGCATGGGTAGGACACATGCTACTCTCACACAGTTCCGCTACCTCTGTCATTCCTATTCACCTCATGAACTCTCCTATAAAATTCATGTTTCTTGCTTTAAATATTGGAATATTTAAGACTGCATTTGCTTCATTTTCTCAGTACATGTGGGTGTTTCCTTCATGGGTAGTTTAACACTTCTTTCTCCCTCCATGACCTCACAGTCTCTCCATCCAGTCCCAACCTCCCCCAGACCTCTCCCAGACCTCTCCCACACATACCATTACCACTTGTCACGTCCTCCGACCCTCCCTCCTCATGCCCTCCATCTCCACTAGGTAAGAATACACACACATGCAGTCTCCCAGAGACTTGGTGGGCTTTCATGCATGCTGTATTGTCTTTGTGTATTTTTTATAAACCTGACCAAGTTAGATTTGAACTCATACTTGATTTTGTATTGGCATGATGGACCTAATTTCCTGTTACTCTGAACAAGGAACTCCTGAAAAAAAGTCTTTTATGTTCATTAATCTATAACTTTGTTTTACAGTGCATCTTTCGTTTAGTGAGGGTGGATATTCCAGATTTTCTCTCTTCCATCCTGCTGCTTTTTCTCTCTCTTCACTTCTGCTCTTTACTCCCGCAGTGGCAGGAAACATCTGCCCGGGCTCCTTGTCCAACTCTAGAAGGAGTCCTCTGGGCAAAGTAAGAGTTAAGGGCTACAGATGCACTGTGAATGCTTCAGTATTAACAACAGAGGCCCAGAACCCTAATTATGTGTGGTAACATTAGAAAAGAACCTTTTGTCTAAATTTTTTTTAAAAGAAACTTTATAATGTCCAAGGTTCATATGTTAAACATTATCTATGCCTTAACTGAAATGGTCATAGCCACCTTATGGCAAAATCGTGTGATGTGCTTCTGTAAGTATTCACCCGTCACTGCTTACTAACAGCTGCCCGCATGTTCTTGACGTGTTAGACTACATGTTTTTAGTTTGTTCACCTTTATTTAATCAGGGTAAGTCTGCTGAGCAGCCACCTCTCTTCACCTCTCCTGCATCTTCAGGAACACCCTGTTCCCATTCATACAGTTACACCTGGAAGCCCAGTACAACCACAAACTGATGTGTGGCTGCTGAGCAGCTTAAGGGCCTTGCTCAAGGCCACCACAGTGGTGTTAATGAGGGTGAGGCAAATACCTCGTCACCTGTCCCACCCAGATTTAATCCATCCGGTCTGGGGACTGAACCAGCGTCACAAGCTTGCTTCTCTGTTTTAATGTCTCTTTC